AAAGGATGGAGGATTGCCAAAGATGCTGAATAAGTTAAATGGAAGTGAGACAACTCCAGTGAGGGAAGATTGGGGTCATGTTATCTGAGAAAGAAATCATTGAGTCCAACATTCCAGAGGTGGAATTTTTCTGACAGGTTGTGGGCTGGCCAGGAATTGGCATTTGGTGTAGAAGGTGGGGACATAGTAGGTTTGGGAAGGCATTATGAACGTAGTATGTTGAATGGGTCTTCTACTTGGGATGGTGAGATCATCAAAAGATGGTGGTGGGGTTAAAACCAAAAAACCAAACTCACTGCCTTTGAGTTGCATCTGACTCATAGCAACCCCTTCTTGGGTTTCTGAGGCGGTATCACTACAAAAGTAGATTGCCCAATTTCCTTCTGAGGAGTGGCAGATGAATTTGAACCATCAGCCTTCTGGTTAGCAGTCAAAATGCCTTAGGCAGCAAGCCACCGAGCCTGAGAACCCAATAAAGGTAGCGATAGCGATGAAGAGAAGGGAACTTAAAAGGGAAAGTGTTTGTTAGGAGGGGCTGACACCATCCAAGCAATCCCACACCATCACATCCCAACCAAGCCCAGGTTTCCATGGCGAGAGTTACTGCTCTACCAATTATCTCAGATACATTGTATAGTAACACTGTTGTTTGGGTTTTGTTGGTTTCAATAGGACTCTTGGGTGCCGAATTTTGTTTCTTAATTCACTAAATGACTCATTTTTTAATTGAAACATTCATCTCATTCATGTCATATTCACTTATTTTATATTAACTTCTATGACTCTAGATTTGTTATGGTTCTTTTAGTCTTACAACTGTGCTTCTTTTGAGTAATATGTGCCTTATTGTAAAGGACTCCAAATTTCATCTTTTCTTTTTCATCAAACCACAGGCTATCTATCCTACATGGTTTGCTTTTTCCTATATACAGTCTATTTATTTAAGGTTAAATTATACATCCAGTCTTCACTTATCATTTGGTTAATATCCAAAGACCAGGTTGAAGTAAGAAAATCAGTGGTGTGCAAAAATAGAGGATGACTACATAAGATCACAAAATGAAAGTGGATTACATCATTATGTAATTGCCAACGTGCGTATTACATTGCTACCAAATCTCATCATTATATAACTGCCAAATTGCATCATTACATAGGTGCCATATCACTTCTTTACGTAACTGCCCAACCACTGAGAATGATGGCCCAGCCATGTTGATACATAACCTTAATCATTACAGCTAACATTACTGTCACCTCGCACCTCAGCACTCATTACTGTGAGACATATGGCATTAATGCACAAAACAGTCAGAGAGTAGAACTTTTACTATTATCATGAATGCACAGTATCAGATAATAATATAACTGAGTGATGTGTGGGTGTGCAAAATCTGTGAAAGCCAGAACCCATGGAAGGTGGAAACCTGTCAGAGAAGGAGAATTCAAACATTTTCCACTAACAGTGGTAGAAAAAGGTAAGACTTTGCCCTGTCAAAGGTGGAAAACTTGTGAGACCTGGAAATAAAAACAGTGCTATCAAGTTCCAGCTCTCAGAGGTCTCACTGTATATGTTTCTAATAGATTTGCAAAAGTGCTGAAAAATAGATGTTTAAAATGATTTTCTATTTTCCCTTGGGTTTTCTCTGGCTTATTCTCAGAGTTCAGAGCATTGGTTCAAATC